TGTAGTAAGTGTTGCCCCTTTCGATCCAGAAATAGAATGAATTTTTAATCGTAATCGATTATTTATCTTATAAAGGTTTAAATAAATATATATATAAATTACTATTTAGTGACTATGGAATTTAGTTTTAATTTTTCTACTTGACAAAATATTATTTTATACATTTTTTTTAAATTTTCGCTTCAATATGCAATAAATTTTGAATTTTGTCAAAATATGCAATAACCTTTAAATATGTAAAAATATGCAAAAAAAATTTCACCATTAGCTTCAAATTATGATGATTCGTGGGCATAACTGACAACAATCCAAAAATATTAAAAGGAAAAAAATATGCAATTCCATAGAAATCCGCGCTCTAGTAATAAGATATCTTATTAAGACACGTACATTGGGCTCCGCTTTTACATACAAAAATATTGACGTGGAAAGTGAATCGTGAATAAGTGATCGACGAACTTTGACGTCTGCTAATTTTAGGCTTAGAGAGCACTCGGAAGAATTACAACTGTTTGCGAGCAGGTAACGAGCAGTAATTTTTATTCGATTCGTGTCAAGAAAAAATATGATAAGTTGTCTTGTATTTTATTTATTATTTTTTTTTTTTAGAGAATTTTTACTGTGTAGCATAACTGGATGGTCGACCCGCCACGACGAACACCATCAAGTCAACGGACGGGGCTCGCAACTAGTCTAAGGTTCCTAATTAAATCTGGGCAAAACGAAATATACGATTGCTGGAAAAATGTTATTTCCCTAATAGTTCTAAACATGTCACTGATGGATACCGACACAACAGAATTGGTAGTTTATAAAAACGGCGAAAACATAAACAGTTAAAATGCGTAAATATTTTTAGTCTACGCATTTCATTATCATTAACTCCTATAAACTGTACTACAATAATTCTTCATCAGACATGGTTATACTACACACATTTTTGTTGAACGGGGAAGATATTGTACCCCTCTTGTACGATATCAATATTAAACTGCAGGCATGCAATATGTACTGAATTTTCTTAAGCACGGTTTATTACTATAATCATCGGCCATACTTATTTTAAAATAAATTTAATATTAGTGTAGTATAAACATTTAAATTCACACTGCTAATTGAGGGCGGTGATGCGTTATTTACATATGTGTAAACTCATTAAAAAATTCCAATTTTTAAGAAAAAATAGCTTTAGTATTGATGAAAAACAATCATGATTTCGAGCCTATGAACATTTTTCTGAATTAATAGAAAATATTGAAATTATTTACATTTTTTTCTTTTAACATTTTAATTTAATCACTCACAATACAAATCAGTTCTTGTTATGATTTTTTATTAATAATATATTTATCAATTTATATAAGTGTTTCAACTTAATATTGTATAGGAACAAGAAAGTTTTTTTTTTTTTGAAAAAAAAACTATTTTTAAAAATGTATCTAAAACACGTATAATTCAATACAAAAATGTAGACACATAAGTAGTAGATGAAGAAAAATGATAAATAGTACAAGATTTGTTTTGCTTTTTTTTGCAAATCAGAATGAAGCACCACAATTTTGTCTAGAGTAATTAGCAATTGTTTTGTGTTCATACAACAAAGTATAAAAAACTAAATTCCTAAAACAATCCATAGAAAAATTACTAATATTATTTTTCGGTAAAAAAAAAAAATAATAATAATAATACTACACATATAAATGTACAATTTATTTTGTTCAGTTGTATAATTTGGATTTAAGAACAATGTAATTGATTTTATAAATATAAAAATTATGGACTAATAATATTGTTTATTTGCAATTTAAACTAATAACAAATTAAAATAAATAATTTAAAGTATAAAATAATTATATATTTATATTGAATAATCATAAATTATCAGTTAACATAAAATAATAAATGTGAGCTTTCAAAACACAAAGAATATACATAATAATGTTTTCTAAGTGACAATTTTATTATATATTGTTTTAAATTTGTTCATAAATTTCTGTTTCACAGCTTAAGCCCATTTGGGAACACTGGGCATCATAGGAAACAATATTAAATGTGTAAAATGGCCTCTAGTGTTTTGATAAAAAAAAATAATAATAATAATAAATCTTATAGTGCACAAGCACATTAATATAAGGTAAAAAACTACATGAAAATTATTAAAAATACATTAGTGTCGAGGATTAATATTTTTCTATATATTTACCACACTTGGTAATCAAGTCTTTTTGTTTTGAAGCAATAATATTATTATATGCATTAACGTATTACAATATAATAAAATTATATAAAGATATAAATTTGTATACATAATATAACTTGGTAATAAATTGTAAGCTGTCACATCATAGATGGTATCCAGATAGTTTGGTCCGTTTTAATATACTTATCGGCCATTATTGTTAATCATCATGTTTTATCATTAATTACAAATTTAAGTTACTCTGATTATAATTGATTTACCAATTGGCCATGCCAGGTTTATTGAGTGTCATGAAATATATCTGACAACATGATCCACCTTTAGCTGACGAAAAGAATACCTGAAAAATAAAAGTTTTTAATTATATTGGCTTAAATAACTTAATGGAATCATCTTAATGCTACCAATATTATCTTAATAGTGATAATTACATAAGAACTTTTTAAAATATTACCATTTTATCATCTTTATACTAAATTATTAAAAAATTAAATACAATGATAAAATATATTCAACCAGAGCCTGATTTAGCGGCTACAATCCAGAGACTTCTACGATATTGTAATTATTGAACAGTAAATAGAGAAAAATGAATTTAGTTTAAATGAATACACGTTAAAAATATAATACATAATATGGGACTTAATTTTTCTATTTTCTATTAAAATTATCATCAAAAACATAATAACATAACGACGCGTTACAGTCGTTGCAGAATCTAGTGGTTGTTGTGCCGTACATGGTTGATCATAAAAATATTATTGAATGCATTACTAAATATAAATGTGGGTCAAGAAATATTATTGTCCGGACGATAAACAACAAATGCTATACCAAAAACAGTTATTCATAATATAAATATCATGTACAAACATAATACAAGTACAATAGCAAATTAATTTTTACACCTTCCAAAAGTTAAAAGTACACAAGATATTAGTAGAGACTATAATTGTTGTTTATTAATTCTAGTGAAGAGTTATAAATTTCTATAAATTTAAGAGCATTATTCAATAATC